CATAAACATAAGACTACGGCTTTTTCTCTTGGCATGGATGACGGTACATTACAGTACCAAGGATGACTATGTGTTCCAAACGTAGATGGTCTTCGGGAAAGAATCATGGCATAAGCTCATACTTCTAGATATTCCGTGCACCCAGGTTCTACAAAAATGTATCATGATCTCAAGGAAGTTTACTGGTGGAATGACATGAAGAGGAGTGTGGTGGACTTTGTGGCAAAATGTTCAAACTGTCAACAAGTGAAGGCCGAGCATCAAAGGCCCGGTGGGTTAGCACAGAGTATAGAAATTCCAATGTGGAAATGGGAAATGATCAATATGGATTTTGTGGTAGGGTTACCACACACTCCGTGTAAGTTTGACTCAATTTGGGTGATCGTGGATCGACTCACGAAATCAACACACTTCTTGCAAGTTAAATCCACCGACATTGCGGAACAATATGCTCAATTGTATATCAAGAAAATAGTCAGGCTTCATGGCACTCCAGTTTCTATCATTTCCGATCGAGGGGCCCAATTCACAGCTAATTTCTGGAAAAAATTTCAGCAAGGTTTGGGTACGCAGGTAAATCTTAGCATGGCCTTCCATCCACAAACTGACGGGAAAGCAGAGCGGACTATTCAGACGCTAGAGGACATATTGCGTGCGTGTGTTCTTGAATTCAAAGGTAGCTAGGATGATCATTTGCCGCTCATAGAATTTGCTTATAACAACAGCTTCCATGCTAGTATTCAGATGGCGCTGTTTGAGGCCTTGTCTGGTAAAAGATGTAGATCGTCGGTTGGGTGGTTTGAGGTTGGAGAAGCTGAACTAATAGGACCAGACCTTGTGCATCAAGCTATGGAAAAGGTTAAGATCATAAAAGAGCGGTTGAAAACTGCTCAGAGTCATCAAAAATCCTACTCGGATGTTCGTCGCAGAGACTTAGAGTTCAAAGAAGATGATTGGGTGTTCTTGAAGATATCTCCCATGAAGGGGATCATGTGGTTTGGAAAGAAAGGGAAATTAAGTCCGAGGTATGTCGGGCCATATAAAATCATTCAAAGGATATGGCAGGTGGCGTACAAGCTTGAACTACCACCTGAGATGTCATTAGTACACCCGGTATTCCACGTGTTCATATTGAAGAAGGTAGTTGGAGATCCGTACGCTACTGTGCTGGTTGAGACTATCGAGGTTAGTGAAGAATTGTCATATGAAGAAATTCCGGTTGCTATTCTTGATAGGCAGGTCCGAAAGTTAAGAAACAAAGAAATTGTATCCGTGAAAGTGTTTTGGCGAAACCAACAAGTCGAAGAAGCTACTTGTGAAGCCGAGAATGAAATGAAAGAAAAGTACCCTCATTTGTTTGAATAGCCATGTAATAGTTCTATGAAGTTGTTTCCCCTAAAGTTTGTATCGCTTGTTCGGCTAATATAAAGATACTCCTTTCTAGCTATATGTCCCCCATGAGGCTTCGGTTGGTGTTATTTTGCATTTTGTTGTGTCATTTAATTCTATATATGTTGCTAAGGTGTGCTACGGGGGCTCTTTGACAGGTGGATAGGCCTAAATACAAAGGAAACTCTGGCAAAATTTTCAGGAAGTTAGGAAGTTAGGCAAATTTGAGGCTGATGGCATGTGGCATAACTGAAACTGTGTTAAGTGAACCTTGATCTTCATTCGAGGACGAATGATCTTAAGTGGGGGAGGATGTAAGGACCCGTAAAAATTTTAACCAAATTACTCGGGATTTCGTGGTGCCAAGATATATTCCTGCGTTACTACGCGATTCAGACTTTTTGGATTGAACAGTACCCTGCGGACTGAGAGGAAAATGTTTCGCAGAAGATCGCATTTCTGCGGCCCATTATGCGGCCGCATAATCACACTGTGGACCGCATAATGGCCACATAGTGAAGCAGTAAGTTTGGCCAACTTGAGGTTAGTTTTGCGGTCGATTATGCGACCGCATAATCGATATGCAAACTGCATCTCGATCGCATAATCCCTCTTGATTTTTTGCGGAGGGAGTTCTGCGGTGCATTATGCGACCGCAGAACGAGTATGCGGACCGCATACTGGTCGCATACCTGGGCCGTAAGTCCAGGCCCCTGAGGGCGATTTCTGCGGTCACTTTGCGGACCGTATAACCATTATGCGGTCGCATATGCGACCGCAGACCTGTGTCGGGGCACCATTTTTCTTAATTTAAAACCCGACCCCCATTCCGTTAAAACACCCATTTAGTCCATTTTGAAGCTCATTTCTCATATTTCTAGTGTGAGAGAGAGAGGGTTCTAGAGGGAGGGCCTAATTTTCATCAATTGATCTTCAACCATCACTCAAGGCTTGGAAATACTCAAGTAGAGCACCAAATTCTTCATCCAAAAAGGTAAGATTTCATTACCCCAGCTCTTAATTTCAAACATAGCTATAATGGGGGTACTAGGGCAATACTTCATGGGTATGAGAGTGGTTCATCTTGCATGCATATGATAAAGAGTGTGGGAAAAATAAAGAGTGAACTAGAACTATGAACATTTTCATAAATTTGGGTTCAATTTGTATATTGCTAAATTAGATTGAGGTTGCTAAAGGTTCGGGATAATTGTAGAGTCTAAAGAAGCGCAATTGAGGTATGTATGGTTAACTCTTTTCTTCCTAGAATCAAACTCCTGGTGTCCGAATAATTGGTGTAAGTTCCGACTTGATCTTACTAGAATTATTTGCCTTAGTGTGTTAGGTTGAAAGATTCATGTTCCTTAATTGTTTTAGATATTTACCATGCCATCATGCTATTTGAGAACGTAACTATGATTTTTCCAAGCTCCTTCCCTTATGTGTGCATTGCCTTATGTGATGGTGCTTATAGATATGAATGATGACGTTATTTGAACGAATAAAAGGGAAAGACTTGAATTGTAAAATGTGCCCAAGTATCAAGAACTATTTAATAAATGAGGTTGTTTGTGCCATGTAATGAAAGATGGGAAAGAGATGTGAATTGAGTGGGCAGTTGGAATAGGTTATGTCTCAAGTGAGATGGCTTAGCCGATCGGGCCGAGATCGGACGCCATGCTGTACACATGGTGGCATTTGTATTGGGATTATTGAATTACGTTGTGGATATGGATATGTCTCACTTGAGATGGCTTAGCCAGTCGGGCCGAGACCGGACTCCGTGTAAAAACACGGTGGCATTGTGAGTTGTGGCTTTGGCACTAAAGATTATTAATCTAGAAAGATGGAAAGATTGAATTGGAAACTATGTGACCCTTACTTGGTGTTTTCTTTGTATTTGTATGAAACCCTTATTGATTATTATGACTGACTGCTCCTTGTTTCACTGTTCATTCTGCTAAGATTGGTGTTTGCCTTATATACTAGTACTATTCGACAGTACTAATGTCCTTTTTGCCGGGGGCGCTACATCTTTGAATGGATGTAGGTGGTGCCATCACAGATAGTGCTGATCATAGATAGGTGGTGCTCTCCTTCTCTCCTCACAGCAGTCTTGGTGAGCCCCATTTCTCCCAGGGGTCTTGTAGTCCTTTTGTATAAGTTTTCATATTTTGAGGTATAGTCGGGGACTTATTGCCGGCATTGTCATGTTGCTCTTTTGTACTCTTAGAGGCTCCATAGACGTTTATGTGGGTCATATATGTATGTTGGGGTGGTCGTTGGATCGAGTTGTATTTTGGGAACTCAATTATGGCATAATGTATATAAGGAAAAATAAACTAGCAACGTTTATATATTTATATAACTGATCCCCCCTGTTTTACAAATGGTGATGTGATCCCTTTTTGGATTATGAATGAGTCGGGTAGGAAAGGTTTAATAGGCTTGCTTGACCGGGTTCACTCGGTTGAGCGCCAGTCGCGCTCCCCGAGGTTGGGGCGTGACAAACTTGGTATCAGAGCCTAAGGTTTTAAAGTGTCCTAGGATGTCTCAGAGCCGTGTCTAGTAGAGCCCTTCTTATCGGTGTGTTCTCGACCACATCTAT